AATAAAATATAATTATAGAAAAAAAAGAAGATTAAAAAAAAATAAAGGCTCAAGCCTTTAATATTTGCCAGCCTATTTTTAAAGCCTATTTATTAAAGGCTCACGCCTTTTGTTCATAGGGTCACTATGAGTTGTCTACGACTCTATGGCACCTAAGAACAACATTTATACCATAGGATAGGCCTTCTAAGTTTGGTCCCATTTTGTATTTTATGATCTTTACGGCTTGAGGATTTACTCCGAGGTCTCTGATTCACCTGGAATTGATTTTTGTGTATGGCAAGAGGTGTGAATACTGTTTCAGCTTTCTGCAGGCAGAAGTTCAGTTTTGCCCACACCATTTGTTGAAGATGAAATTGACCGCTTTTCATGGAGAGGAGCAAACGGGGGGTGGGGGCGGGAGGGGTGCAACAATGAATGAATGGAATTTCAAAATCTCTGTAAATGCTCATTGAAATGAAAAATAAACAAACTAAATTTAAGAAGAAAAGATGAAATTGACCATATTTTCCTGTGGGTTCGCTGATATTTTTCAATGGCCTTTGGGTTATCTGCACAACTTCCTATGGAGCAAGCCACCCATTTTAACACACTGGGGGAAAATATATGAACAGAGGTAACAACTGTGCCTGATTATCAGACAACCCTCTACCAACTCCATGTGAAGCTGTTTTGCTTCTGGCATCTGGAAGTAGATCTTGCAGTCCACTTTCTGTCAATACAATGTTGGTCAAACTGTTTAACTTTTAAAAATGAATTAAATTATTTCATAAATAGCTTTTATATTAATTACATGGTGAAATGTTAATATTTTAGATGTACTAAAAATACATTACTTTTTAAAAATGTTTCAGTTTCTATCATGTTTTACAGCAGTATATCTCCTAATGATGCATCTTTTATACTTAATGACTATAAAACCTGACATACTCATATCTAAAGCCCTGTTGATGTTGTTATTGGCAGGTGCCATCTAATTGAGTATGATTTGTAGTGACCTTATGACAAATGAATTTGAACTTTACCCTATCCTGCACCATCCTCATCATCTCTGATAAACTTCAGCCCATTGTTATTGTCACTGTGTCAATCCACTCCCTTTGGGTCTTCCTTTCTTTTGCTGATCCTCCACCTTTCTAAGCATGATGTCTTTTTCCAGAGACTGGTCCCTCCTAACAACATGTCCAAGGTATGTGACAGGAAGCTTCACCATCCAAGCCTTTAAAAAGCAACCTGGCTGCACTTTCTCCAAGACATACTTGTTTGTTCTTAGGAAGTCTATTCAGTACTCTTCTCCAACACCGCAACTCAAAGACATCACTTCTTCTTCTGGCATCCTTACTCATGGTCCAACTTTCAGATTTAAAAGAAGTAATTGAAAGGCCATGGCTTTAATTAGTTGTATCTTGGTCTTTAAATGACATCATTGGTCTTTAGCACTTTAGAGAGATTCTTGACAGTAAATGTTCCCAGTGCAACACACCTTCTGATTTCTTGATTGCTGGTACCAAGGGTATTGTAAATCCAAGTAAGATGAAATAGTTGACAACTTCAATCTTTTCTCCATCTATCATGCAGCTGCCATGGTCCAGTGGCGATAATTTTTACTTTCTTGATGCTGAGCTGTAATCCTTATTGAAGGCTGCAGCCCTTGATCTTCTGCAGCAAATGTTTCAAATCCTCTTCACTTTCAGCAAAGCAGAGTTGTGTTATCTCTTTCAGAGCAGTAAGCAGGAACTATTAAGTTCTCTTAGTCTCAGTGTCATTAGAGACTGAGAATTCATGTGGTCCTTATAGTCAACCGTGCCCATGTATCTTTGACTTTCTTTATTCCTTGCTTTAATGGTGATCGGTCAGTGGTTTAATCTTAAATGATCACGTGAAAGGTTTTAAGACTGCAGTCATTACTCATCAAAGGAGCATGAAGAATATTCTGAGAATTATGTAATGCCAGTTGATCTTGATGTTCCCTAAGACTATGACCCTGAGTAACCGAAACTTTTCAGTACTCATTCAACCATATTCCAATTTAATCCTATCCCACCCACCTGGAAGTGCCTTTTCTCCTTCTGGGATATTACTCTGTGACGGTATTCTTTCTTTTCCTCTTTCTCACTCTCTCCACCTCCATTTCTGATTTTTTTTCCTTTGCAAGTTTATGTGGTGGGGTAAATCACACTCCATTTTAAGAGCGAAGGTAAGAAAATTAAGGAACTAGCCTCACATAAGTTTGCTTGTCCTTTTGACATTGGATAATGTACAATCATTACTCAGATCTAGAAAATTGAAATATCTTTTCAACTCCATACTGCCATACCATCTCAACTTTAAAAGAAAGAAAGAAAAAAAAAAAACCAAAACACCTCAACAGCCTGCTTTTTAGCAAAGAGATGGAAGCAACCCCAAGTGCCCAACAAAAAATAAAAGGATAGAAAAAACATGTTAAATTCACACAATGGAATGTTGCACAGCAGTGAAAAACAATAAACTTGTAAAACACTACACAACATGGGCAAACCTGGAGGACATTATCCTGAGTGAACTATCTCAGCACAAAGGGATAAATACTGCATTACACTGCTGACATAGGGGAGGTGGAAAGGATAGGAAAAGAGTGGATAGATAATAAACACTGCGTTGGAATAGATTAGGGAAAGAACAGTCTGAAAATAATTATGGCAAAGCATTATATATGTATGACAACAATCTGGAATAATAGGTATACCTCAAAGTGGACTGGGAATGGGCAGAGGAGGATGAGGAAACAAAATGTGTAAATATAAATGAATTTTTTAAAACAAAAATCAAGAAGTCCTTGGCAGCAAAAAAATTTCATCCCTTTCATTGATTTTACAATTTTCCTTGAATAACTAAAATCTATTTCTATTACAACTGGAAGTAAAATTAAGTTGTTATTGTTAAGTTAAAGTTAAGTTGTTATTGTTAAGTGCTGTTGAGTAGAGTAGGATTCATAGTGCCTCTATGAACACAACTTTTTATTCAAGATGAAGACAAGATATTCAATCAATGTTACTTCATTAAAGACCTATAATCAGTTGTTACCTCATCAAAGACTTTGGAGACAATATGCTTGTTCAGGACTGGAACGTAGATGGCATTGTGAGGGACAGCTGCCACTGACAAGACATTCATGATGGTGAGTTTCTTGGCCACTAAGCCATTGGTCTTTAGCCAGTTTTCAGAAGACATATCTGAAGAACTAAGAACATAATAGTGTGATGTTTTAAAAAGTTTCATTCCATCTAGGATTCAACTATGGTCTCAACCAGAGTGAAGAATGGTCAAGAAAACAAACAAACAAAACCCCCCAAAAACCATGTTTAAAAATGTGTCTCATAGATCATAAAAATCTCAGCTTACATGCCCTGACATCAGAAAAAGTAGATGGTAGTTAACACTGTCAACCAGGATTCAGGGTCATAAAACAAAACTCAAAATTATAATAGCCTACCTTATTGGCTGGAGAGAAACTCCAAGACTATGATGCTTACTCCTTTTTTTTCATTATAATTTTTTTAATTCAGAAAAGCTAGGAACAACACTAGAAGTCCTAATCCACAACATAAACAGTCTTCCCAGTATCCTGGAAAAGCTACAACCAGGAGAAGATAACA